CGCCGTCGAGGTGGAGCTGCGTGGCATTGAATGTGTGGGCAAGGTGTCGCAGCCATTGCCCTTCTCCCCTAACGATGATCACAGCCTGGTGAGTGCCGTTGCAGTGCGTGCGGCGAGCTTTCATCTCAAAGACCATCTGAACAGAACAACTTTTGGCAGGACTGATAGATATACCATTGTCCATCTCACTCTTGCACAGCCCAACGAGACTTTCAGGCTGTCGCACAGGGTGCTCGATCTACGTCGAGCGCGCATGACGCGCAACATTCAGCTTCGTTCCAAAGTGCTACACGCAGCGCGCAATCATCTTCACTCTTGCAACTTTACAGAGATCGAGACGCCCATCCTTTTGCGCAGTTCGCCCGAAGGTGCAAGAGAGTTTCTCGTACCCACCAGGGTCCACCGGTCCGCATCCGACGCTCCTCTAGGCGCGACTCGTAGCACGCCACCATTGCCATCTCCCCAATTCTACGCGCTTCAGCAGTCCCCTCAGCAACCCAAACAGTTGCTCATCGCTTCCGGCTCCACTCAGAGATATTTTCAAATCGCAAAATGCTTTCGAGATGAAGACGGGCGAAAAGATCGGCAGGCGGAGTTCACGCAGCTGGATGTGGAGATGGCCTTCGTGAGCGGTGCTGCGGATGCTGAGTTGGAAGAGGAGGGGTGGAGGATGGGAGGTGGGGAGGTGAAGAGAACGGTTGAGGAGTTTGTGGGGAGAATGTGGAACAGAGCGAGGGAATGCGAAGGTGCTGCTCCGAGCGTCAAGCTTCATCCTTGTCCGCAACGCTTCAGGGTGATGCGATGGCAAGAAGCTATGCGGCGCGTGAGTAGCCGGCGCCGATTCGAAAGGATTTTTCTCTGCTTTGTGCTGATGGTCTTTTGCTGCGACAGTTTGGCTCAGATAAGCCGGATCTCAGGTATGGTCTAGAGGTGAGCAGGATCGCGACCATCGCAATGCCTGCGATCGCTCTGACATTGTCATGCACCCGCACACGCACACGCACACGCCATCTCCTCGTGCGATCCATGTTTGCAGATTC